GATTCATCTTCTTGGTTCTTTCGGTAAAGTCACCACGTAGAATGGGGATAAAATAATAAAAAATAAAATAAAAATTCTCACGACGTTTCAGAGGCAACACAAGCTTCCGTCTTCAGGTGGGACAGTCACAGCAAGATCGCTGATCAAGTGGGGAGGTTCAGAGCCTCGAGCTTAAATACAGGTTATAGGGGGGGGGGGGGGGGTCAAGTGGGGGACATTGATGGGGTGTGGGGCTAAGTTAATCATTCTTTTGCTCTGTTGATCGTACGGTACGTCCAGTGGGCCACTGCACGGGGGCAGTGGGAAAATTAAGTTAATCATTCTTTTGTTCTGTTGATGGTGTGGTACTTTACCGAAAGAACCAAAAAGATGATCGTTTAGTTTATAATAATAGGTTTTCCCCTTTTTTCTGCCAACAAAACAGCTGTGTTAAGATGTTAAAACACCAAACTGAAACCAATTTACAAGGAATCATGTCTGCATCAACCACAATACTTGTGGTCACAATGCAAACAAAAACCACACTCTGATAGTATATGATGATGCATTGTCTTTGAAACTGATTGGTCCACACCAGAGACGGCGTTCCTTAGACCCTCGTCTCAAACGGTGTTAGACCAGAGGACAACGCCACAAGGCGTCACACAGCTCAAAGACAACGCCACCATCAGATTAATGAGAGCTCGGGGTGAGCAGCTACATGAGGGGACCACCTTTGACCAGTTAATGCAGGCATGATTCCTTGTAAAAAGGTTTCAGTTTGGTGCGTTAACATCTCCACACGACTGTTTTGTTGCCAGAAAAAAGGGGAAAACCTATTCTCATATTTTGGTACTGGCAAAGGATGCCACATGATGTATAGTTTAGTTTAATTAAATAAATCCACACCACGTCTGGCAATGCCACGTGCTTACCCAGGAGTTGCAGAGTCTCAAGACATTGTTTTCAGGAGGTCCCTGCCACACCGGGGATATCCGGCTAATCTCGTTCGCGCGTTTACCCCGATGTGAAGCAGCGCGTTTAAATAAAGCGTACAAATGCAAAACTTTCGAGTCATATTATGACAAAGTACTTTATTCATGATAATGAATAGTTACACAGGTATATAAAAAGCACACGGTTAAGGCATATATTCTCCTGTCTTTCCTTCTTTTTCCATGGATTAAATGTTGCAAATGACGTTACGCGGTATTTCTTTTCATTTGAACACTATGTACACACACACGCGCGCGCGCCGTGTCACAGACAAGGGGTCTGTAATAATAAGAAATCGTTAAAAAGTCCAGGCCACAGACATCGCCGGAGATTCTAAAAGCACCCCCCCCCCCGCCTCCGAATGACTGCCCGTGTCCACGACACGATCTATCGGACGCAAAGGTGGAGTGTGGGTGGGCTACTCGGGGCTAGTTAGCGTGGATATTGCTGCTGCACGTGTAGGGGAACTCGGTAACGCGCGCTGCAGCAGGGGGCCCAGAATAAACACTCTCCCGCCGGTGGAACGTTTTGCTTTTTTGCCGAAGGGACATTTTGTTTTATAGGCGGGCGACGACGCGGCCCTCGCCACGCCGGCCCTCGCCACGGCGGCCCCCGCCACGGCGGCCCTCGCCACGACGCCGGCCCTCGCCACGCCGGCCCTCGCCACACATTGTCAGAGGGGTGGGGAAGGCGGCGGGGGGGGGGGGCACTTTCGCCGATACGATATGGCCGAGCGTGAGGAGGGCCGCCACACCATTTGAAACCACTGAGCGAGGGGGGGGGGGGTTAACAGCAGCACGATGGGGGTGGGAGGGGGGCGCAGGTCAGGGGGCCGCACTCAAGGCCACCCCAGTGACCCGTCAGTGGCCCCCGTGGCGGCCGTGCGATGAAGGCCACCGGGTTACGGCGGCGGTTCTTCTTAGCCTGGGGGTGCACGCAGCACCCCCTGGGGGTGGCAGGCTGCAGTAGAAGGTTAACAACTGTGTTGAGGGTTCATTACGAGGCTCCGAAACGGCGCTAAGTTTCTGGGCGAGGTAACGAAGCATTGGCAAGGTGGAAGGAGGACGGGCATCCGTCCGTCCGTTCGTCCGAGCAAGCTCTAAGCGGCTGTCCGAGCGCGACACCGCCGCTGCTGCTGCTGCTGCCTTCTGCCAACGGTGAAGCAGCAAACGCGCACGCTGCTTGAACGGGAAACAGTTCTCATCATCGTCATCATTAGCCACGAGCAAATCCACTGCTAGATGAAGGCCAGCAGACAATGGCGAGATGTTATCTCCCCCGCCTCGTACACAGGAGGTCATGGGTTCGATGCCGGACCCTGCCGATGCCGGTTGTATATTTGAAGCTCGCGTGTTCTCCCCCTGTTCTACAGTGAGCGAGTGGAAGGGTGAGTGGCCGGGTGAGAGTGTTGGTAGTGAGTGTGTTGACAGTGAGAGTGAGTGGAAGGGTGAGTGGCAGGGTGAGTGGCAGGATGAGAGTGTTGGTAGTGAGTGTGAGTGTTGGTAGTGAGTGTGAAAGTGTTGGTAGTGAGTGTGAGAGTGTTGGTAGTGAGTGTGAGAGTGTTGGTAGTGAGTGTGAGAGTGTTGGTAGTGAGTGTGAGAGTGTTGGTAGTGAGTGTGAGAGTGTTGGTAGTGAGTGTGTTGACAGTGAGTGGCAGGGTGAGTGTGTGTGAGAGTGAGTGTGTTGGTAGTGAGTGTTGACAGTGAGAGTGTTGGTAGTGAGTGTGTTGACAGTGAGTGGCAGGGTGAGAGTGGCAGGGTGAGAGTGTGTGAGAGTGAGTGTGTTGGTAGTGTGTTGGTAGTGAGTGTGAGAGTGTTGGCAGTGAGAGTGTTGGTAGTGAGTGGAGTCTGCATGTTCTCGTGGAGTGCTCTCCGGGTTCCTCCGGTTTTGCCTCCCCTCCACATTTAGAAACTTTCATTTATATTATTTGGCTGCTGCTAACAATTCCCACGTGTGATGATGATAGCCACTGACTATCCATCACACGTGGCCAGGTCGCCTCTGGAAATAAAGCCAGTAGCTGATTGGGCTTCACCCGCTAAAACAAAAGCTCACCTTCAGTACACATGAACAAAACTCACCCGCTGCTATTTTCTTTGTAAGTGCTCAGCACTCTTTATAAAAGTTGCGTTTCCCCCCACAAGAGGAGCATTTTTTGAAGTTTTCGTTTCACACACACACACCGAAATACGACGCAGGTTCAGAGCGAGCTGCGTGGACCGGCTGGTCCAGGCGAGAGGGGAGGCCAGGCACCGCTACCACTGCCGCCGCAGCAAAAGCGTTGAGCGGTGTGCGCCGGGATTGACGACGACGCTTCGATGGCTCGCTCGTGCCCCCCCTCCCTCACCTCCTAACAGGACCCACAACTGCACCCTCACAGCTGCTATGGATACTCCCTCGTTACTCACCAAATTGCCATGGCCCCCCGCGATTTCAGCTATCCGCGAATCGCATTTGGGACTCGAAACAGCTGCGTCGAGAGATCGTGGCGAGAGAGATCGTGGCGAGAGAGAATTTCTCGAAGATTTAGACGCATCTGCAGACGTCGCCGCGCAGAATCTTCGCAGAGCCAACATCGTTGCCCGCAGAAATGTCCGACTCACGAGCTTCTCCGGGAAGAGGATCTCTCGCGAGTATCGAGTGAGCACCGCATAGCGATCCAATTCCTTACTCTTAAGACGCGCGGGCAAATTCACGTCAAAGGGTTTTTTTTCGTGTCACGTCGCTGAAAACAGAAGATCGATTCGGCCGAGAGATGCCCGTGTGAGATTACACGAATGTAATACGACGGGCGATGGCAGAGAGAACGTGAACTATGCACCCCGGGGTCTTGCCGCTACAACACTCGTGGCGGGGGGGGGGGGGGGCTATCCCTGGCGGTCGCCGCTGCGCGTGGCTCACCGAAGATCCGCGGTCTTCCCGTGCCGCAGAACTCCACCTCGAATGCCGTCTGTGCCGGCGAGCTCCGCTGGCCAAATGGTCGGGAGAAAAAAAAAATGTGAAAGGGCGTCAAGACCGCTCACGCCGGGGGCCGAAGCCAGAAGAGTGAAGGGAACGGCGTGGGGCTGGCAACGGGCGCGAGCACAGCGAAAACCATCCCGGCTCTCAAGTTTGTTACTGCTGGGTCTGTGCAAACCACCGAAGCAACAAAGTTGCATAGGACTGCCCGTGGGGTAACGCCGCAGGGACGGCATGGAACGAAACCCGCAGGCGGGGGATGAGGTTGCAGCGCTTCGACAATCGGGACTCGGGGAGGCCGCCTCCACGCTTCACGCGGCCGCTTTGTCCACGTCCGAGCGAGCGGTTGTGCGACAGGGAAAAAACTCCGCCGTGGTGAGACGTTACCTACCTCGCCTGGTCTACAGGAGGTCGTGGGTTCGATCCCCAGCCTGACGCGCGCCGTATATTTGGAGTTTGCGTGTCTCTATATCTCTCCACGTGGTCGCGTGGACTTTCCTCCGGGTCCACCTCTGGTTTTTGCCTCCACGTTGAGAATCGACGTCGCGCGTTTAGACCATTTGGCGGCGATACATTTTCCACGTGATGATGATCAGTCACTTCGTTGGGCTATCAAGTAGCGGACGAATACCGCCGTTAACCTTTGGACAATGGCCAAACGTTACCCAGGATCCCCTGTGGTTAAAACATTAACCAAATGACGCATGAACAAACGCCGTTCTAATTTTCTGTTAAAATCCGAGTGAGCGTTACCCTCCACCTACCCACCTCTACAGTCGCCTCTAGCTGGGGGGAGGGATGAAAAATAATTCTAAAGTGAACATTTGCTACATCTTGGAAGCGTAGGTTACACGGCGAATATTACCGTGCGAATATTACCGAAAGTACGCATTAAATTGCAGCGCTCTCCAAAAGAACGTCACAGCTCCAGCTCAGGCCGAGTGTGCATCTGCAGAAGCCGGCACACGCGAGGAAGGGGGCCGGTGCACACGTTGCGAGTTTACCAAAAGTCAAAATAATAAAATCAGAAATTTTGCAGATTTTTTTCTTCTTCCACTTTCTCTTCAAATATATTGTGCGTCGCTCAAAAAGTTGAATGCGCGCACGCACGCACACACACAGCGCTACTCCTTGAGATCATCGGCACGGTCTGCTGTACAGCAAGCCGGGATTTGTTTTGACTCAAACAGGAGGAAGGATTTCTCCACGAACTCTGGCTGACGCCTGATGAGGCTGGCTGCTGTTGTACCGAGCGGCGAAAATGTCAACACGGCTACTCGAATTGTAAATGTCATCGCGATATTTACTCTCCCAAACACACGAGCGGTGTTAGTAACAAATTGGCACGTTTTGTTCACGTTGACAAACCTCACTCATCGGCCGTGTCGGCTGGCGGCGGTGTATTAAGACGCATTCAAACATTTGCACGATCTAACCCAAAGCAAACCTCCAGTCACGCTGTTGCTGCCGTTTAATGTTTAACTTACAAGCGAGAGAGCCGCGCGTTCGCTACGCGCCCTAACAGAAACCCACTCTTGGCGTCGTCCGCTCAACGCTGTTACCCAGGCCAGGTGGAGCAGAGAGTCCGTAAACTGACCGGGCGCGTCGCGATCGTCACCGCCCTCCCCACCACCAACAGCATGTCGCGATACACGCCACGCTACCCCGCCCCAAGAGTCTTTAAAACCGAGGTGGCAAATGTCACGGAATACGGGGGGTGGGAGTGTACAGGTTCTGCGACGAGTTCTCTCCCTCGCACGCTCCGACACTTTAAAAAGGAATTTCTCCGGCGCTCTCCCGGTCCTCCTGGATCAAGTTGTGTTTGCGTGTGTGTGTGCGGGGTGCTTTTGTACCCTTCTCTGAAAACGAGCGGCGATTAGAAACTTCCGGGACACTTTAAAAAGAGTTTGCGGGAGAGGGGGGGGCATACGGTTTGCTGTGAACGCACAAAAAAAGGTGCCTTTTAAGAAATCTTAAAAAAAACTAAGAATTTTAGTTTTTTTTAATTACAGAAATTGTAAACGTACAATGTCATCGTCGGTATGGCCCAGGACTGTCAGCACCCAGTGGGTGACAACAGCGCGTGTCTGCTCTACACTAGTTTAACACGCAGAGAGTTAGAGGCTTTTACGACCAATATTATCCAAAGGCTTTTATCAGATTAGATCACGTAAATATAAATTTGTCGTTAAACCAGCCACAGCCAATCGGTAAGGAGAGGAGATGGCGCACACCTTTCCCTCTATTTAACGAAACGGGAGGATTTCTCCACAAGTCTGACTGCCGCCTGCTGATGCCGGTTGTAACTACTGGCGAAACGTCGTACTCCGATTGTAAAATGTTGTGTGGCTTTGCTCTCCAACACAACCGGTTAGTGCTGTACAAGTGACGAATTGGCCACGTTCTGTTGACACGACAAACCTTAGCAATTGGCTGTGTCGGGTGGTGTGGCGGATTTAACGGCACATTTATACATTCACGCGCTCCAACCCAAAAAACCCCCGTGCGTTATGCTCGGCGCTAAACTACGTTATTGTCCGTCCCCCCCATCAAATTCGTGTTCATCGGCAACCGAAAAAGACCGGGGGGGGGTAAAAGAAGGGAGAGAGGCTTCAAAACACGAAGATCCAACAGGATGTAGAGTCGATGTGGGACACACCTTACCCAGGGATGTACACCGTGGACTGCCCGACGCGAGATCACCTTCACACGCAGTGCCGCAACAGCGCACAGCAACCGAGCTGCAAAGCCACCGGGCGATCGTGTCGCTAGGAGGCTGCACCTCGCGGCGGCTCGCCCGAGTCACTGAAAGTAAAGATTTTCTTCTCAATCGGAAGCTTCAAGGGACGCTTGCGTCAAGACGGTCCGGAACGCCGCTACTCCTATTGGGTTACGTAATCGATTGGGGTTTGACGAAACCGCCGTCGTCACGGATCAATGATTTCGCCTGCCGCCGAAGACCGAACGACGCCTCCTTCACCACGCTCGTCTCGCTCCGCCGGCGTCTGCTGGAGGGGCCGTGCACAGTCTGGCGACGTGCAAGGGGTGGACGAGAACGGGGGCCTGTGCCCCCCCCCCCCACACCAACAAATGGTCGTCGTCGTTCCGACCAAGCTGGCTCGGCCGGCCGCGAGACGACCGAATGAGCGGCACGCGACGGCACGCGAGGCCACAGCGGTAGAGGCCGGAGCATTCCGTGCGGACAACAAACGAAGCGGAGCGAATGGAAATTCGTCGGGTCCCAATCTCGCATTAAAATTCAGGCTCTTATTTACCGCTACAGCTAACAAAAATGTGTTCATCGCATCTACGTTGGCCGCCATCCCAGATTTCTGCTTGGAAGCAGCGCGTGCCAACACCGATACACCAACCACGACGGCTCCCTTCGTTTCTCAGTAAAATAAAAGAAACCGTGTTTGCGTTTATTGCTCCGGACATTTCTGTAAGTGCGAACAATCGGTGTTAACTGGCCCACTCAAGAGCGGACTCGTTGGGAGCGAGACGCAAGCCGCGAACGGCACTGCGCGACCGTAAGCGGTGGTGCGAAAATTTGGGGGGGGGGGGGGCCGGAGGAGGGGGGGGGGGGCCGCATCGGTCAAGCGGCTGGGCAAACCCAAAGCCGCTCTTCTGCGCGTGCCCACCACCGGAAGCCAACGGAAGGGGTCACGCCCGATTATTTTTTGCCGAAATTTCATCGGCATTAATAAAACGTTTCCCAACTCTCCACCGGGGTGGTGGGGGGAGCGCCATCTCCCGGCGTGCGCGCGGGAATCTAAACGATGGTGCGGCACAATTTCACAAATCCGTCCACCCAGCTGGAGTAAAACGGGTTCAACAATCGGCAGGCTGCGTGTGCATTGAGATTATTGATATTGTTTGGCCGCTACAAATTTCCACGTGAAAAGCCACTTTGGTGCAGACGTCACTTGTGGCCAGGCCCGCTTCCGAAAAACAAGCTAAATAAGCCTCGGTGGGCTTCACCTGGTAAACATAAAAAAAATTAGCTTGAGTGACGAATCCGACCCACCCCACACGCCCTCCCTCCCCTTGCTAGACACCTGCGAAAGAGCTGCATAGCTCCACGGATTCCTCCTCCAATATAAAATAAAGCTTCTTCATCCTTGCTACTCACCCCCCCCCCCCCCCCCGGCCTCTCCTGCGCGGGAAGAGTAGGCCAAGACAAAACAAAAACAACCCTCTCTCTCTCGAGGGGGGGCTCTCGAGCGCGGCGTGGTCACTCCCCGCCAGCGGTGGTTGCGAGGCGGCAGCTGCGGGGCTGCACCTTTGCACTTGTGAGCCAACTCGACTTTCGTCGCCGCGCTACCAAGGGGGGGCACAGCAGGGTTGGCGAGCCCGCAGCCAAATCGCCTCTTGCGGGCAGCAGAGGGGTGGCAGCAGCTTGCAGCAAGCGGCGATTTCTTTCGCGGTTCTTCCCGTCTGTCGCTTCCGCTCAAAAGAGTTGTAGCGGTGGCCATCACCGTTTGGGCGCACGAGTCGGCAGAGGGTGCCGAAGAGCGAAAGGAAATCGACCTTTTGGAACTACGGCGGGAGGCGGCCGCCGCTGCCCAGCAAGCTCCCGGGGGGACGCGGTGACACGCGGAGGAGGGCGAGGAGGGGGGCGAGGGGGGCGAGGGGGGCGAGGGGGGCGCGGAGAGGCGGCCGAGTGACCACGGCAGCCGCCAACGAGGGAGCTCGAAAGCTTAAAAGACGCCGCGAGTCTTAGCAGCATCCATTGAAGCGCTGTCGTCCCGACAGTTCTGTTCCTTCGCCTGAAGAAGGGCTACTTTGTGCTGTGGCCGAAACGTCGTGAGAATTTTATCGCCCCACTTTGTTTTATCGTTTTAGTCTCATTCTACGTGGTGACTTTACCGAAAGAACCAAGAAGGTGAATCCTTGCAGTCACGAAAGCTTCAAATCGAGGGAGCTCCTCCTCAATTTGTAGCAGAGACAGAGACACAGTGGGGGAGGGGGGGAGAGTGTTACGGTGAATCAAGCCTGCTGTTTAGCGACTCTGGGGTAGTAGTGTATGAGTTTGCATTTTTACACCAGCGAGAGATATAAGAGAGCGATAAAAAAAACGCACCACGGTCGATAGAAAAATTACACAAATTGCGATCAGCACCCGGGGCGGTGGATTTGTACATTGGTTGTTGTTGTTGCTGCTGCTGCTGCTGCAGAGTGAATGGGCATCTGCCGCCCGCTGGCCATAATAAGTGTTCTGGTACAACGGCGGACACGGGAATTGATTTTGCCCGAGGTGCTGGCCCGCAATAACGCAACGGAAGGACATATTTTTTTTTAAAGCCGTCGTGAGACGGCCGATAAGGTACAAGACAAAAGAAGGGTCGTCGGGAATTCAAAAATAGACTGGTAATTTCAACATACCAGGTTCTGTACAATATCAACAACGGTCGACACAAACATGCGCCAACATTCCACGGCAACGTTCGGAAGTCCGTGTCATTTAAAAAAGAAGAAGTTAGTTTTGATGCACTGCAAAAAAAAAACGCGGTTCGCTCCGTTGCCCAGAGGCGGAGTAAACATTTCTTTTGGTCTAAACTAGGTGGCGGCGGATGCTTGTTTTCGTTACGGGATGAACGTCCGTCGGTACAGGCGACGGTGCCGTGCTCGTTGGGGGGGGGGTAACCGATGGGGACGGAGGCCTGCGCGTGTCATGGCACCTACTACTACGACGACGGCACAGCGCTCGCACGAGTGCCGTGCGCGAAAGCGACAGCTTTGGCGGGGTCCAACGGTGCTGCTTTAAGTTACAAAACAAACAGAAAAACGAAAGAAATCAACAACAGAAAACAGAAAACCAAAACAAACAACTCTCTTCTTTGAGAAGCATATAAATTGATTGTCATTTAGTTTTGTATATTCTCCCGAGTCCACTTTGATCCCTTCCACGGTATGTACACCCAAGTGACGCCCGCCGGGCACGCGGGGTCGGGGGTCGGGGGTCGGGGGGAAGAGGAGGACGACAAGGGGGCGACGGATTCAGCGGCCGTGCCGCCGCCGCCCCCCAATCCCCCTGAACCACCCGTCACACCCTCTCCTCCTTCATAGTCACCACCTCCACCTCGGGGCTCTCCGACACGACCATCTCCGAGTGCGGCACGATGTGCAGCGGCACCTCCTCGCTCGCCGTCGGCGCGGCGGCGCCGGGCGCCGTCTGCGCCTGCTCGCTGGGCAGCGAGAAGAGCAGCTGCGTGGCCTCCCCGTGCTCGCCGTTGGCGACGGGCGTCAGCACCAGGATGTACTCGTGCTGCTGCTGCTGCTGCTGGTGCCCCCCGACCCCCGCGGCGATGGCGGGAGTCGCGGCCGAGCCCACGGCGCCCGCGTCGCTCACGTACGTCGTGGCGATGACGGTCCCGGGCGGCAGGTCGTGCAGGGCGCCTCCGCCCGCCGTCTGCAGCAGGATTCTCGGGCTGCCGGCGCCGCCCCCGCCGGAGAGGTTGAGGACTTGGCCGGAAGCGAGCGCTACCGATTGCCGGTAGGCGGTGTCTATGGAGATCACCGAAGGCATCTGCACCGCGCTGCGGACGAGAACGCGCGGGCGCGCGACGGCGCGTCAGCGACAATCGGAGACGGCGCCCCAGCGCCCCCGCCAGAGGGAGGCCCGTGGAGCGGCCCTTGCCGACGCACGACAAGGGCCATGGAGCACGGGTGGGTAGGCACGGTGCTGAAGACGTTCAACGTGCGGACGAGGGGCGCGCACACGTCGCAGCGGCGTAAGGACGTCACGTGATTGTGGCGAGATGTTAACTGCCTCGCCCTGGTACACAGGAGGCACACAGGAGGTACACAGGAGGTACACAGGAGGTACACAGGAGGTACACAGGAGGTACACAGGAGGCACACAGGAGATACACAGGTGGTACGCAGGAGGTGTACAGGAGGCACACAAGAGGTGTACAGGAGGCGTACAGGAGGTACACAAGAGGTGTACAGGAGGTACACAGGAGGCACACAGGAGGTACACAGGAGGCGTACAGGAGGCACACAGGTGTACAGGAGGCACAGGTGTACAGGAGGCGCACAGGTGTACAGGAGGCACACAGGTGTACAGGAGGCACACAGAGGCAAACAGGAGGCGTACAGGAGGTACACAGGAGGCACACAGGAGGTCGTGGGGTCTGATAACGACCCTGACGCCTGCCGTATATTTGGAGCTTGCGTCTCTCGCTCCCTCTGCACCCCGTGGTCACGTGGATTTTTCTCCGGGCCCTCCGGTTTTCCCCTCAAACATTTAAAATCAACGTGACACGTTCCAAGAGTATTTTGGCTGCCGTAAATTTCCAACGTGACGATACGCCACTGCCTCCAGCTATCATTATCAAGCATCGTTATTTTTGTTTTCCCGTCGACGCTCGCCACCCACCGGACGGTCGTCATGCACGGCGTCCCACCAATCTTCTTGGGCCTGGCTGGAGACGCCGCCACCGCCGCCGCCTTCACCCGCAGCGGCGGGGGGGCGCTCTGTTGCAGCTCGGCGCTCAGCGAGGCGATGACCGACTCGTGTCCCGAGTCGTCCGACGGGTCGCCCAGGTCGTCCAGGAAGCCCTTGGGCATCTCCTTGAACTGGTAGACGAGGCGCTGGCCCTCCACCTTGGCCAGGATGCCGCGCTGGTAGTAGTAGCTGCGGCGGCAGAGGTGGGGGGCGAGTTAAAAGAGGGGGCTACGCACGGTTGCGGCTCGAGCGGGGGTACAGCTGCGGGTGGAGGGACACGAATGCAGGTGGGCACAGTTGTGGGTGGAGTGGGGGCACAGCCGTGGACGGAGGTGGGCACGGCCGCTGGCATCTCGCCGATTCCCCGCGCAACACTCGCCACAATCAGCCAGCCAGATCGTTATTGAACACTTCGGCTTTCGTGACAAATATTACCCATAGCAAAGTTTTTTTTGGGTTAAGACAGAGTAAATGCAAATGTTGTGTTTACTCTCCAACAACGCCGGGCGGCTAAAACACAGCAAGTTGATATAGCAGGGGGCACAGGTGGTGCATTGGCCAGTCATCTCAGTTGACCCATGCCACCTGGGTCTGTTCCCTGACCTCCTGCCAGCGGGCGTTCAACACTTCACGTGGCCTTTAAAGTTCGCATATCCTGGCACAAGCACCGTAGTGACGTTACCGCCACTCAGCGGCGAACGGCGTTTTTTGTTGTTAAGCTGTAGTGCAGCGGTTAGCGCGCTGCGCTATTAAACTGGCGACCCGAGTTCCATTCCCGCTCATGGCCACCAAAACACCAGTGACAATTATCCGAACCGGTACCCGGGTTCCTCAAGGTCGACTCAGCCTCAACCGAGCACCTCGTGTGATGTGTAAACATCGCCACTTGGGAGACAAAGGCGGCCGAGCGTGGTGCTGGCCACCCACCCCCTCGTGCACCTTTCCGGCCTTCATAGGTGCTCGCTAACAGCACTCGGCCCAAAAGTCTGTAAAGGCTACACGGTGGATCTTTGTCTGTTTTTTAATAGGCAAATGAGACGGAGCGCGTTTGCTTAGACGGGAACCAAAACTGCGGTGCGCTTTTGTGAATGGCGATCGAGCAGCATAAATAGCGGCTTGGCCATCGTCAACGGTGGCTAGGGGATGTTAACTACCTCGCCTGGAATTCAGGAGGTCGCGAGTTCAATCCAGACCCTTACGCCCGCTACATATATATTTGGAGTTGGCGCGTCTCTCTCTCTCTCTCCCCGTGGTAGCGTGGATTTTTCTCCGGGTCCTCCGCTTTTTCCCTCCACATCAATGTGAGTTTAGAGAGCATTTTGGCAGAAGTGTCAGCGAGCCTGTGACACTTCACGTGGCCACAAAGTGCACCAGGCCTGGCACAGGTGCCGCGGTGACGTCACCGCCACTTGGTGGCGAATGGCGGGTGTTGTTGCTGTACGTATGCATGTAGAACTTCTTTCGCACCGTACAAAGTCAAACCGTGCTAATCGGAGCTGCGGGGCAAGGACAACAAGAAAAATTAAGGTAGGGTCGGGTTAGAATATGGATAGGGTCAGAGAATTTTATTATTTTCCACTGAGCTATACAGCTCTTTTTGAGAAGCGACCTGGTCACAAATGATAGCTCAAAGAAGTTGCCGATCATGTGGAGAGATTCATAGCAGCCAAATACTCTCAACGCGTGACGTCCATTCTAAATGTGGATGGGAAAAAACCGGAGGACACGGAGCAAAATCCACGCGACCACGGAGAGAGTGTGCAAACTCAACATATACAGCAGGCGTTAGGATCGGGATCGAGGCCACAACCTCCTTCATACCTGGCAAGGCAGCAGTAAACTTTGTGTCACCGTGGTGCCACCGAGTGGACTGTGTAAGACTGGGTTTAAGGTGCGGGCTAGGGTTAAGTCTGCGCGACCTCGGCGTAGCGTCTGGGCAGCCTCGGGGACACACACTCGCGCGGGCCTATCGAGAACCACACGAGGCCACGGGACCAATCATCAGGCTCCCCCGAGCCCACGGGACCGGGTAGAATCAACCGGCAAACCCCCCCCCCCGACCCCGGGCTCACCGCAGCGCCCGGCCCATCGTCTCGTAGTTCATGTCGGGCTTGTTCTTGTGCTTGCCCCAGAGTTGCGACACGGCCTTCGAGTCGACGAGCTTGAAGATTCCCTTCTCTCGCTCGGTCCACTTGATGAGGCGCGGGCACGTGCTCTTGTTCTGCAGCAGCGACAGCAGGAACTCCCACAGGTACACCGTGTGGCCTGTACGCAGGCGGTGGGCGGCCGGGGGAGGTCGACACGTCAGCGCAAGTTTGCTCGATCATCGGGGTGACGCGGGCGGTCAAAACACTTAAAAAAATAACGCTTTCATTTTACATTGCAGCATCATTCATGCCAACGGCTTTCCCACAAAGCTGTACATTCATTATGCAGACACGCGCGGTTGGCTACGTAGGGCGTCAAAGAAGCCCAACACACGCACGCATACACACCAAGCAAATAAAAACCTTAACTACTGCTACCCAGCAAAATGAAAAATGAATAAACAAATTAAGAAATGGCTCTTGCCTATAACTAACACGCGGCAACCGTGCAGCGTTGTGTTTAAAAGGCCTGGCTCTGTACGCTCAACTTCGTTTGCACCGTACATCGCCAACCGTGACACAGCGGACGTGCCGATGAGACTCGGGAAGCCCTTCTCCAAAAACGCCCAGAGCCAGCGCAGGACTCTCAGGGCGTGGTGGGTAACGGGGCGGCGGTCACCCGCGTGGCTATTTGCCCAGTCAGGCAGGAACCCAAGCCGGGCCGGGCGTACCCGACCGTGACGCGCGGCGACGCGATGGCCTCACGTGACGCATCGGAACCTGGCACGGGCCAAGGAGGTGGTCCGGGGGGGGGGGGGGGGGGGGGGGAGTCTCGTGCACGCGCGAAGTCGGCGGCTTGTACAGCGGGGGGAGGGGGGGAGGGGGGGGGGACCAACCTGGCACCTCCTGAGCCGTGCCAGGCCTGGCTCAGTTGCACAGTGGACACGAAAACAAGTTCCAGAGTTTGTCCGCACGAAACGAAATGCTGCTGGGGAATATCGTTGCGCAAGGCCCATTTAGACCGACGGGAGCTAAATGTTGTGGGTTATAACTGTGCTCAAACGCACTGCCTGTGGCAGTGTTTACTGTAATTGGATACCAGGGCTAACGTAAACAACAGAGCGTCACCCTTACAGACAACCCAAGTATGCATGGATGTTGAACTTCTTACGCACGGTATGCAGCCAACCGTGCTAAAATCTGGAGGTGCGATATGCAACTGGTACGTACTTTTTTTTTTTAAACTTCTACACCTTTCATTATTTTTATTAGTTTGTCTTTAGAAAACTTGCTTGCCGTTTCTCTGTTTTGAACTCCTCATCGCAGTTTCGTAAAGTTTACACTCCATGGTTCTTTCGGTAAAGTCACGTCGGTATAAAATAAATTAAATCACGACGTTTCGGGCGCAACACAAGCGTCCGTCATCAGGTGGGACAACCACAGCGAGAAACAATTGCTGAAGTGGGCAAAAGGGCTGCTGCGACAAGAGGCCATATAGGCAAGAGAGGTGGGGGGAAGAGCCAGGGAGGAGAGACACGGAGGGTGAGGGTTTGGGGTAGGGCGAGTGGAGGCTACAAGTAAGACACAAGCACGTGTGACTTTACCGAAAGAACCAAAGAGTATGGATCCCCCGCAGTCACGAAAACTTCACATCTAGATTTTGTTTGTTTGTTGTAACTTGCCGACACGCCCCGACTGGACGTCTGTGAAAAAGAGCTTCATCGGTTCAGGGGATCTCTCCTCAAGTATTGCTATGTTGGATCCTCATTCATTGGAGCCAGACTAATTGTTAGGAGGCCATCTAAACACGTACAGGTTCAATAAAGATTGCGGTCGTATCAAGAGGCGGAGGGGCTTGGTACCTTGACAGACGACACTCAGACCGCTCGCAGAGAAACGCCATCTCCTTGGGCCAGCCGAGTTGGTCATCACCCCCACTGAGAGCGAGTGAGCGGGCGAACGACCGATCGGGCGAGCGAACGACCGATCGGGCGAGCGAACGTGCAATCACGGGGTCACCCAACTTCTGTAAATCTCTCGTTACCTTCTCGCGACTTCTTCTTGGCCGGCGTGTCCGGGTTCAGAGAGGGGGAGCACGGGCGAGTCGTCTTGGTTTTCCGCCCTGAAACGGCGGAGAAGCGGCCGTCACGCCCGCATCCACACGGCACACACGGCACACCACACACACGGCACACCACACACGGCACACCACACACACGGCCCACCACCAGCACGACCGTGGCAGTTGCAGAGGCGAACAGTCGCTGGGGGCAACCATCACTGGCAACGCCTTCTGCTGTGAAGCAACTGCAAGGGGGGGGTGCGGGCATCACCTTTCTTTTTCCGCGGGGACTGGGCGCCGTCGTGCAGCGGAGATTTGTCGAACGATCCCGGGGAGTCGGGCGGCACAAACACCTCCACCTCGGCCGCCACTGCGGCGACGACACGGAGGGGAGGGGTGGGGTGGGGGGGGGGGTAGCACGCAGGAATGGAGAGTGACGATCGGCCGATTGCAATCCGCGGTTGAAACTCGTAGAAAGGCGTGCGCCCGTCAAGTCGTTTCGGTTGATGTTTTTTTTTTAAACCGTGGCGAGAACTCGAGGGAGCCTCTCGTATTCGCAAGAGCGACCTGGAGCGTGAGAAGTCTGCCAATCGAGGGTGTTGACTGCCGCGGTGTGCAATGCCTATTCAGCAATTTACAGGTCGCTAGGCGGGACTACGGCCGCTGGGCCGAGACCAACGATGGAGTGGATGCTAAAGCAGATAACGACGCCCGATTAGGATGTCCACTGCGGGCACGGAGCGATGATGTCGACGTCGACGATGGAAACGTCTGCGTCCTTGTTCAGCGCCTGCCGCCTCACCTATGTGGTGAGCGTCGCAGTTGGGGTCCGGGGCCTCCATGTGGAGCAACGTCTCCGCAGCCTCCATAGCCTCGGCTCCACCTCCTCCGCCCTCCTCGCTCGGGCCCACCACCTCCTCGGCGGGCTCGGCCACCTCGTCGTTCATCTCCATGTCCTCTGGGCTGCTCGCCGACACCTCCACTGCAGAGACACGGCCGGCCACCGCCACCATCGTCGTCATCATTGTCGTCATCATTGTCATTATCATCGTCATCATCGTCATTATCATCATCATTATCATCATCGTCTCGCAATGATCGTCAACTGCATACAATGAACGTCGTTGCGCCATACTTGTGTGCTCCCCACCTTTACAAAATCCGCACTGACCGATGTCATGAAGTCCGGTGAAATAACACCCACGGCTTGGGGGGGGGGGGGTGAAGCCAAGAAACAGACAAAGATCCCCTATATAGCCTGAACAGGCTGCAGGGGCAAGTGCTGTTAGCGAGAGCAGCACCTATGAAGGCCGGCACGTCACATGGCCAGCGCCACGCCCGGCTGCCTTCGCCTCCCTGGTGGCGATGTTTACACACCGCACCAGGTACTCACGGGGCCGAGTCAACCTAGGGGAGGGCCCACGACCGGCTCAGGACATTCGTCACCGGTGCTGGCCGTTGAGCGGGAATCGAACTCGGGCCGCCGCTCCTCGCACGCAAGAGGGCAACGTCACGCGCACCGCGCCTCGTCTTAGCAAGTTCGCAGGCAAGTGTTCACGGACAGGCTGGCCTCGGGCAGCCACGGCGGGGGTCTCCGGAAGGTGCCACGCGTCGATGGATCGATGGAAGCGGTGCCGACGCTTACACGGCCGAGCGGCGTTCGGGAACGGCAAGCGTCCAGAACGGTCGCTGCGCAGCTGCTCGAGTGTATGCGGCCCCGCTTGCGCTTTCTCAAGTTTAACCGGCGCCCGACGCACCTCTGCGCTACCGCGCCGGCCCCATCCAACTCTGTGGATGTGGTCGGCGGCAGGCTCGGGTACGTTCAGGTGGACTCAGGCGGACTCGGGTGGACTCCGAACCGCTGATAAAGAAGGCTGCTGCCTGGGTCAGCAAGACGGGCTCACGGTACAAAATACAATGACGAGTTGGGTTGCTGCGTTACGTTGAACCGGACAATATACTACTTCCGTGACGATCGTACGGTCTGTGGTACATATTGTTATATCACGGTTATCTGTAATTTGATGTACTTCACAAATTTCCGACAAATTATTCGTGAACACAATCATTTCAGTTCTAAGTACACGAGCGATATCACCCAATTAAGCACGTGTATTTTGTTGATCGCAGCCTAATAGTGATAATTAAAGGCCCTTCAGGTCTCCTTGAAGGGCATTCGGCGCGGGAACAGCTCCCAAGGCTCCCAAGGCTCCGCGATAGAAGAAACCGGCGGCACGCGCACGGCACGTGCACGGCACGCGCTTTGCCAGCCGGAAACCGTTCTCACCTCGCCAAGCAACCGAGCCGATGCTCGCAGGGCTCACATTGAGCCACCGGACATTGCTCGCGGAACGAAAGCAAGGGGCTCAACCGGGGTGACCGGGCATTTGCCAGGTGCGGCTCCCGAGCCCTGAAATGCTTTGCGAACGAAAGGCCGTCCGGGAGTCGTTAGCAATACTTAAGTGCCGTCTTGAAAACTCGCCTCTTTAAAAACTGGCCAACACCTTTTTCTGACGATCATCCGAAACCGGTCCTAGGCCTCCGACACTAGGCCGACTCGGCCTCAAATGAGTACCCGGGTGCGGTGTGCAGGGAACATCGCCACCGGGGAGACAAAGGTGGCCGGGCGCGGTACGAGTCACCAACCCCCTCGTGTGCCGTGCCGGCCCTTCATAGGTGCAACTCGCTAGCAGCACTTGTCCTACGAGCCTGCTAAGGCTACACGGGGGATCTTTGTTTGTTTGCTGTGAGTCTATGAACCACGCAGCGAACGGTAGCGCAGTGGTTCAGCAGCACCAGTGCGCTACGAACCCTGGTTCGATTCCCGCTGTCACGACCAATAACAGCACCGAATATGTCAACCCGGTCCTATATGGTGGGGGGGGGGGGGGGGGGGGGTGCGAATCTTTGTCCTCGTCTTGTTTGTCTTAGCGCAAGCCTGTGCTCCTACGAAAAAATATCAAACAGTGCTAAGTGCCACCTCATTGGGGCCAGAATAACCGCTCAGAGGCCAAGCAAACATACGCAGCATTTCTGCCACGAGGATCTATTGACCACCGACACCAGTGGAGAATGAAAGACTCAAACGGTGCGAGCTTAGCGCTCCGATCCCCCGAGTCACCTCTTCACCGCCCCTCCCCCCATCACCGACGCGCGCTTCCATTGCCCGGCGCGAACGCAACGAGAAACCAAAGGGTACGGCGACACGCAGGGTGAGCTCGGCGTCACCGGGGAAAAACAAAAAATGTTCGAACATTCACGGTTGCTTGGTTAAACAAAAAAATCTCGGGTCAAATGGGAACTCTCCGAGCGACGGGAGAACAAGATGCCAGTTTTATACTCGGAAGCGCCGCCCGTCAGCACGACCTGCGCCAATTAACAAATCGGCACAACGACAACGAAAGACAACAAAAGACATCCGGCGTCTCCGCCGGGTAGGAAACGCTCCAGCCCGCGCGTCCGTTACGAAAGGCTGTTGCAGGGCGCATGGGCATAAGACGTCACCCGTTACACGCCGCACAAAAGACACGGACGTGGTCATCAACCGCCCCACCACCGGCGGCGTCAACAAAGGCCATCGTGGCAAGTGCCGTGAGCGAGCGCGTATTGCCAGCACAGCGGATGAGGGGTACGCGCGTGTGTGTGTGTGTGTGCGAGATCGGCACCGCGCCCAGCCGCCTTTGTCTCCCCGGTGCTACACCGGGTGCTCATTCAGGGCCGTGCCGACCCAGGAGAGACACAGGAGCACTTCAGATAAATTGTCACCCACTGCAAGCCGCGGCTACCAACTCGACCCTTTGGGGGTCCAGGTTTGGAGCACAGTGCACCGACCACTCACTGAAGCACGCCAAAGACAAAGATCCCCCGTGTAGCCTTAAAGGACTGTCGGGGCAAGTGCTGTTAAGCGAGAACCTATGAAGACCGGCACGGCACACGAGGGGGTGGGATAGACAGCACCTCGCCCGGCCGCCTGTGTTATCCTGGTTGCGATGTTTACACTCATTTTAGGTCGAGTTGACCTTAGGGGAGGCCCATGGCCGGTTCAGATAATCGTCACTTGGGGTTGGCCGAGAGCGGGAATCAAACTCGGGTCGCCGGGTTCGTAGCGCAGCGCGCCCAGCCACTGCACTACCGCTCCCTTTCATAACACACACGCACTCACCACCAGCTACTCTCCCTGCACACGCAAGGGGTGCGAAAATGCCGCATGATGAACCCACCACATTAGAATAACTTGAAACACCCTATGATTACCACTGCCTTGTGACCGCATGCTGTACTGGCTAACCTTAATAGGTATTCGAATAATTCTCGACGATAGTGAATAGGTCAGCGTAATCGCACTCTATAAAAGTGAAAAGAGGTCTGTGTAATTGCTATAGGAGAGTGAACAGGTTTGTAACAGATGTATGAATGTGAATCGAGTGTTGTGTGACGGCACCATAGCATCCTAGCCAAGCACCACCACCACCGCATGTTAGCCAAGTACCACCACCACATGCATCCTAGCCAAGCACCACCACCACCGCATGCATCCGAGCCAAGCACCACCACCACCGCATGCATCCTAGCCAAGCACCGCATGCTAGCCAAGCACCACCACCACCACATGCTAGCCAAGCACCACCACCACCGCATGCATCCTAGCCAAGCACCGCATGTTAGCCAAGCACCACCACCACCGCATGCTAGCCAAGCACCACCACCACCGCATGCTAGCCAAGCACCACCACCACCGCATGCATCCTAGCCAAGCACCACCACCACATGCATCCTAGCCAAGCACCACCACCACCACCGCATGCTAGCCAAGCACCACCACCGCATGCTAGCCAAGCACCACCAACACCGCATGCTAGCCAAGCACCACCAACACCGCATGCTAGCCAAGCACCACCACCACCGCATCCTAGCCAAGCACCACCACCACCACATGCTAGCCAAGCACCACCAACACCGCATGCTAGCCAAGCACCACCACCACCACCGCATCCTAGCCAAGCACCACCACCACCGCATCCTAGCCAAGCACCACCACCACCACATGCTAGCCAAGCACCACCAACACATGCTAGCAAAGCACCACCACCACATGCTAGTCAAGCACCACCGCATGCTAGCCAAGCACCACCACCACCGCATGCTAGCCAAGCACCACCACCGCATATACCACCGCATCCTAGCCAAGCATCACCGCCGCATGCTAGCAAGGCGCAGTTCTTCCAGCAAGTGTCAACAGCACACCCTGGCGAGGGAGGGCGGAAGGGCAGCAGAGGCCCCGCTAGGCAGGGGCGGCACCGTGAGGGAGGGGGGGATTGCAGGAGCGGGGGGGGGGGGCACCCACTTCCGTGTTACATTTCCGTGTTTACCGCTCTCTCTCTCTCAGTGAGAGTCCTTGTGTGTTTGAGAAAGTCGTCTGCTAGTAGCGTGTGTGGTGCCCGCGTGCCGATATCTCTACTCGAAAGGCTGAGACGCCCCCCGTACACCCTCCACAGGCTATTGGGGCAAGTGCTGTTTTACTCAGCGGACACGTGTCAAGAGGTTGGTTACGGCACACGAGGCGTGGGTGGCCAGCATCACGCCAGGCCACCTTTGTCTCCCAAAGCGCTCATGTTCACACTATATCATCTCGAAATGCACACACACACGCGCCGCTTTGTGATACCTACCCGCGCGTATGCTCAGGTAGCAACGTGCATAGACAAAGCCCTTGATCATGTATCATGTGCACGCACGTCAAAATAAACTACGTAAATATGCTGCCCGAATATAAACAAAGCAAATATCCCCGTAGAGGCATAAAAATTATTGGGGAAAGTGCCGTTAGCGAGCACCTATTAAAGCCCAAACAGCGCTCCCACGAGCGCTGTGTTAAGTGTCACGCACGGCCACCTTTGTCTCACCAATTCTGATGTTTACTCATCATGTACGGGCCCAGGGTAAGGGGGCCTGTCCAGATATCTCGCCTCGCCACCCGTGTCA